ACCGGTGCGTTGTCTATCTGATCCTTCAATCTGGTCGGGAGCTAAATTCAAACAATCAGGGAAAGCTTCTGTTCCAGACGGGCTTGATCTGCATGAGCTACATCAAATCACCACCGCGCAGAAAGAATTCCCTGATCGTCTTGTTCTCCAGCCGCCAACCATTTCGCGGACTCTTCTCGTACAGGCCCTGCTAACCTGCAGTTCGTTTGATGAACAAACGAATCTCCTCTTTCGTTCAATGTCGGTCACTTCATCTGATCTTTTGGCGCGTGCTGTATTTGTGCAAAATCTTACCACATGCATGCGCCGCTCGTGGCCAGACATCGACTTTGTGGTTCATGGCTCACACGCCAACGGTCTTATCTGCCGGACTAGCGACCTTGATCTACTCATGGTCCCCGGGGACATCAGAATGCTACCTCAGCCTCTTGGTGGCGATAGTGGATACGCCAAGCAGGCACACCATTTGCGTGTATTACGAAGCTTCATGCGCTCCGCCGATCCGTTAGCTCGACTCCAAAGCAATTTACTGCAGAGTCGCTTCAATCTCCTCCACATTTCCGTGGTGCCTATGCTTGGTATCCCAGCTGACATTTGTTTTCCAATACAACCGATTGAGTTGTTACAGCGCGTCTCTTCCCTATATGATCGCCTTAATACAGTATATGCCCCCCGAATTCCTGTAATTATGCTTATCATCAAGCATCTAGCTCGTTTAGCCGGTTTGATCCAATCCGGGCCGTCGCAATATTTCACTAGCTTTAAACTCTACGCTCTGTTGCTACACTATCTTCAAGTGAACGGCTTCGCACCTGCATTAAACCATCTAATGGCAGAGGAGGAGCTGCCGCCTCCGCTTTCTTCATCTTGCCCCCTGTCTAGGAGGCAAGAGATCAGCTGGCCCGAGCAATCTGTTTGGCCTGATTCAACCGCTGCCTTGCTGACCGACTTCTTCTGCTACCTGGTGGGCCTTAAGCCAACCTTGGTGACTCTTTGCCTAGCCTCCGGTCGGCTTTTACCGAGGCAGGCTGCTCAAAACAATCGGTTTTTGGATGTGCCGAATCCATTTAAACTTGGCTGGAACATCTTGCATGGAATCGGTCGGTCCGAATGGTCCAGTTTTCTCAGCTGGATTCAGCGTTTGCAACCGTTTCTCAATCGTGCTGAGCATCTTGCTCATGGAGAGGTGTCGATTGAAGGGGCTTCGTCGGTAGCTGGCATCCACTCAAACAAACTAGCTATGGCTCATCTTGTACGAAGTAAAATGGAGTCACCAATTTGGGGTATTCCGGCCATGGAGTCCATCCAACTACGCTCAAATTGCATTAAAGAACATGAAAATAAACTTATTTTTTGATTCATTTTCACGTTTCCTAGTTCTAGTAACTGTACAGTATCCTTATTTTTCCTCCTTATCCTCTATCTATCCCTTGCTAACCCTATCTACCGTTTCCACGCTTTTTATTTTTTTTCCTATGAGCAAGAACTTCCTAGCCTTATGCGCATCCGACTACTATAAGGGCTGCATTTTCCATCGAAACATCAAGGGATTTATTGTTCAGACGGGAGATCCTTCAGGTGGGTTCTTCTTTAATATTGTTTATCTAACCACTTCTTTCGCCCATTAACAGGAACAGGGAAGAACGGTCAAAGTATCTGGAAACAAAAGTTCAAGGACGAATTTCACGAATCTCTAAAGGTATCTGGAATGCCTCACTTTATACAAGAGATTATGCTTTGATGATACCTACGTTAACTTAATTATGTAATGTTGTTTCCGTGTCTGGTATGTGAGTTTTCTAGCGAACGATCACATCCTCGCATATTTTTGAGCATAAAACTAGAAACCCAAATGGACCACCCAATTGCAGGAATAAAAATACTAGTGGCAGAGGAGGTAGAAGCAAACATCTTTTCTAAAGTTCCCCTGCGAGCATTGTTAAGTTAAAATTCAATACTTTTCAAGTATAAATGATTGCATGGGACGATGACAAAAGGGATTTTGAAGATCAGACTGAATATTTGAATAAAATTATCATAATTAACCAATGAAAATATGAGACACTATATCGGAATGAATGATAAAAGTTCTTCTTAAGCGAGTTTTGTGTGATAAATATTGCTATTCCCCCAATATTCAGTTTGAGTCCAAAAGTATTGAGGATTTTTACGTAAATTCGAGTGAAACCTAGTTTTGAAGCTAGGTTGTATGTTATCAATGCCAAATGTATTGATCTCAAGTTGTTTGTTGCTTTCTATGAGGACCTGCTGCACAATTAACATCCATCTTTGTTAATCTCTAATTTATTATATAGTTTTAGCTAATGGGCCTGCTAAAGGATTTCATTCCTGAGTATATCCTTCTTTCCCAGCGAAAAATATTCTTCATCACTTGCATATG